TTCCGCCCTGTCCTCCAGCCTGTGCAGCATCTGGTACACCGACCCAAACCGGACCTCTGTCGGGCGCAGCAATGACAAGGAGTCATCGATGCACATCATGAGACCGTGCGTGGCATGATGGTTCCTGATGAACTTCACGATCGTGTTCGCCATCTTCACCGTGTCCTTCACCCAAGGCAAACTGCTTAGGTCCTTCAACAAAAGACTGCAGCAATGCGCTCCACAAGGCACCCCCGGTATCCTTGCAATGTCTCTGTCTGTCCGCCTCTCCTAGATCTGCACTGCCTTCTTGTTGACCTCAGCGTTGTCAGTGCAGATCGCGTTGATCCGTTTCAGCCCAATCTCCCGCATCACCTGCTCCCACAACTTCTCCAATGCTGCTGCGTTTTCTTTCTCCCGGTCATGTAAACCGTGGTCACCAAAACTGCTCCTTTCTCCCTTGCTGCTAGGAAATTCATGACAGGCCGGTTCTTGCGATCTGTCGATCCGTCTGTGATGAATGTGCAGCCGGTTGTGTCCCAACAAGCAGTCAGGGGGTTGATCAACTTCTGCACCTTTAGGAAGATGTAGTCCAACATGACAGTCCGCATATGCTTGTAGGTAGGCAACTTCAGCTTCGGCTTTGCATTGGCAACCTCCAAGTAAGCGTCATGAAGAGCCTGCGTGGTGTCGAAGTTCAGGAAGTTGAAAGCAATTCCAGCCCTGAACATTGCTTCCGCTCACGCAACATCTAACTTCTTCTGTGCATCGTTGTCAATCCACTTTCTTATTGTGGTCTGCGTCTTCACCACCACAACTTTGGCACAAGCCTCCCCTCCACCGGTGCCACCATCGCCCCTCGCTGCAGCTTCGTCATCTGTTGTTGCAATCGGTGCAGCACCTTGTGGAACCGACCGCCCTCGGACAGGCGGAGGCACCGGCCAAGACGACGGATCTTTAGCATCTGATGCATTCTCCGCAGCCTCCTCGCCCCCCTCCACGCCCCTCGAGAGTCCTCTGAAGTTCTGCAGCAAGTACCGGGTGTTCTTGTCTTTGGGGTTAACCTTGCCTCCCTGAGTAACAAGCTCATCCACAATCTCCCCCGTCCGGAAAGGACACGGTTTCTGCACTTTCAAGAAATGGTCAACCACCTTCGTTGACGACCCCCTGAAGACCTTGGAACAAAGGCGACACCTCAGCCAGTACTCCCCACGTCCTGCAGGGAATGCCTCCTGTCCCTGTTCGACCAACTTCCAGACTGCATTCTTCTTCAGCAGCTTCTTATGGGCGTCCTCGTCCTTAGCTTGAAAGAGACTAGGATCAGTGGCGGGTGTCGCCTCCTTGTTGATGGCCGTTGTTCTTGACTGCGCTGACTTGCTTGACGAGGGCTTGTCGGGAACATGCTGCACTTGCTCTTTCCCCTTGCCTACACTGCTACTGCCTAGCCTGCGTCTTATCGGCCCAGCCCCGCCACTTTCATCACCCGCCATGCTGTCGCCCACGGTGTAGTGGGAAAAAAATAATAACCTATAAGTTGCGGATCTGTGGAGCAATGTGGGTATGGGGTGCTACTCAGGGAGGAGGAGGAGGAGGAAGAAGAAGATGACGAAGGAGGAGAAGACGAGGAGGAGGAAGAGGAGGAAGAAGAAGAAGAAGCTCGCAAGGGAGATGAACGAGCTTCGGGAGAAAAAATAATAATAACGGCTATGGCTAATGATCGAGGAGGAGAAGAAGAGGAGGAGGAGGAGGAAGAAGATGACTAAGAAGAGGAATGGAGGAAGAAGAAAAGGAAGAAGAAAATGAAAAGGAAGCAGCGCACAGGGAAGATGGATGTTCGGGAGAAAAAGAAGAAAAAACGGCTGATACGTTGGCTACGCCTAATGAACGAGGAGCAGAAGAAGAGGAGGAGGAGGAGAAGAGGAGGAGGAGGAGGAGGAGGAAGAAGATGATAAAGAAGAGGGGTGGAGGAAGAAGAAAACGAAGAGGAGGAGGAGGAGGAGGAGGAAGAAGAAGGAGCAGCGCACAGGAAAGATGAATGTTCGGGAGGGGAAAAAAAAAAAAAAAACCCGACTTATACATCGGCTATGGCTAACGGACGACGAGGAGAAGAAGAGGAGGAGGAGGAGGAGGAGGAACAAGAAGATGACGAAGAAGATGAGTGGATGAGGAAGAAAACGAAGAGGATGGAGGAGGAGAAGAGGAGGAGGAGGAGGAGGAGGAGGAGGAGGAGGAGGAGGAAGCAGCGCACAGGGAAGG